CTTACGTTCCTTTTCATTGGAGGCGTACGCAAAGAAAATACACTTGATAGACTTAGGGTCAAATTTAGTGCGAGTTGGGGAATGAATGTGAACAAAGGATACACACCTAAAGATTTTTAATAGTATACTAGGAGAGAAATCTCTGATGTAAGGATGGGTAAACATCGAAACAAGAAGTGATGTTTTGAAGTTAAGTACTCGGTTAGGCATTCGGTTGAAAGAATATGTTGCAGTAGAACTGTTTACCACCAAAAATATTCTGAAAATTGATGGGAAATCATAATTAAGTGGGATACCTCAAGAAGAACACTGAACATTCTCTCTATTATCTCATTTTATTGTGAGGTATCAATGCATGAACTCACATAGATGATTCTATTTTTCAAAAGGTAGAACCCAATAATGGAGTTAAAATATTCTTTTGCATTATCAGTTTTAAGAATCTGAATTTTGCATTGAAAAGGACTTGAAATGTTTTTTTATAAATCTTTATCATTGTATTTTTATTATTCCTATTACTTAATTTTTCTTATAACTTTATTTATTGTACTATTATTGAAACCTCATTTTATGTTTTGGGTTTTAACATTTAAGGAAACATGAGCTCGATGGCTTCTGTTGTTTCTAAAATATTGTATTGTGATTGTGGATTGTAGTGTTATCTACTGACATCACGAGGAAAGGGTAACTACCGGAGAAAATTTTATAGGTGTCCAAGAAATACATCAATAGAGCACTGCAACTTTTTTAAGTGGGTTGATCAATTCGAGGAGTCTACCTTAGATAGTGATCAGGTGTTGAGAGTATCTTTGGAGAAAAGTTATCACGTAGGATCAGGGGTGTAAACGAGTCAAGTCGAGCTCAACTCATAAAGATAGTAGCGGAAACTAAAAATACAATTTTTATGGTAGATGGCTAAAAAAGGTATTAGTGGCCGGAGGAGGAGGAGAATAGGCTCGGCTCGCGAGCTCGTTAATGAGCCAAGCTCGAGCCGGTTGGGCTCATTTACACCCCTACGGTAGTATTGATCCTTTGGAGATTAAAATTAATATAGTAATAATTTTTCTTGTTGCCTTTATATTTTTATTTTTGATTTTGATTGTTGTGTTACACATTGTTAAGTAAGCAAAACATTTGGTTGAAATATTTGAACTAGTCAGTTTTTTAGATTTCTGGAAGTATTTTATGTTTATATGTATGAGTTATTTTCTTGAAATAGTTATTTTGTAAACAACACAAGTATATAAGGGCAATACTGTCTTTTTTCATAAATAACTGTAGCACAACTAATGTACAACTGAACAAACCAAACAAACACAATTTCACCAACAACAGTTTCCCTGCAACAACTTCTTCCAATAGCTGCAGCTGCCCCAAACAAACCTTTAGTTGTCATCATCCACAAATCAATCATCATTGGATAGCACATCATCATAAACTACTGCATCTCTGTCATCCTCTAAAACCTTCCTTTCAAACGCATATTATTTAATCTTTAATTGTAAACCAAAGTGTTCATCCTTAAGTTAACCATTTCTCATTTTGATATCAATTTAGTTATATGTACTCTAATTGCACTCAAACCTGGATGAAGCGCATGCAAAGTCTAATACATTAATAGCAAAATATTTTAGCACTGAAATAACATCGTCAAATTGAATCCGCCATTAAACTAAATGTCAAAAAATGCAATTAAAATAGCAAACAAATTTGTTGGAATATTAAATAATAAATATTAAAATTTACCTATCAAATATTTTGCAACTGAATCATTGGTTTGTAGTCCAAGGAATTATGCCTTATATATAAAAACCACAAATTGCAAATCAGCCTTTGCACTCTTAATTAAGTCAACTATCAACATTTCCATATAATGGTATAAACCAAACCTGATCTTAACATTATTTGAATTATTTTCCACATATTGAATATAAAGATTAAGATAATATAAAAAATTTAAGATTATGATAATATATTGTGGCATGCAAATGATGAAATTTTCTTTGTAACTGGACTACCACCCTTAATAGAAGCTAACTACATAATAAATGCAATCACATAGCTCATCATTTATTTGAATAAGCCATAAAATTTGAAATAAGCGTTTAGTTATTGTCATTGCATAACTCAGTTAGTAAAAACTTTTTATTCAGCATATTTTTTCTAACTTCCTTCATTTTAGTTTTCTTTACCTACACACATATTACCCATTATATGATTGCAAACATAGCCATAAAAAATTGTCTTACTTTGAAGATACTTTATATAGTCAAGTAGTCCATAAAAATTTTACTTTTAGCAAACCAAAAAAGTATTTTCTTATGAATTTTTCAACACAAAGAGAAAACTCACAAGTGTTTGTAGGTAAACTTGCAAGTTTAGGTTGCTTAGCTTAAGGCATTTCTGTGCTGAGAAAATTTTCGTCCAATACATTTGGTTTTGTTTCCGTCAACTTACTTTCGAACGCCCTATAAATATGAATATTATCTGTAACTGCTACAACCATTAGATGTTTTCCAATCTCCTTATATCAAGTAATTCAAAAATGTACTCTAAATCATTATTTGAATCTGAAGCTTCAACAACTTCCAAAAATATTGTCATAAAGGTTGTTAATTAAAATGTTGATCAAGTTCCTACTCTTAATATCAAACCAACCAAAAGACAAGATAATTACTCCAATCTATTTCAAGTTCTCATAATCCCCTTAGTGACTTTCTCAAATCTATTCAACTCCTCATTTAGTATCCAAATTCTTGGCTCATGCATAAATATTGATGTTAGATTGACCATAAGAACCTATAAAACGAATCATATTGAAATAAGTAAAAGATGTACGACATATTAGATAGAATGACATTTTCGTGAAAGAATCTTCAATACTCATATACACATGCATGCAAGCCTCTAACATTTTCAGGAGACAAATTGAGCCACTCTCACCCAATATTTATCTCACCTCCACCTTGATCGAGTACTGATCCATTGATCCTCTTACACCCCTACCTAATATTTGTGATAAAGAAAATAAAAGATCCCTGTCATTATGCCCACTAAGATTTTCACAACAAGGGCAACCAAACAGCCTTAAAATAAGAAAAATGCCACACATGCAAAATGGTGGGCAAATATTGAGGTCAATCCTATCCTTAAATAATAAGTAGTTTCGCCAACATGTGCATGATATCTTGTTGACCGAGTGTTTCTCCTGCTTAATCTTGAAGAACATGCTCTATATTTTTCATGATAAGTAATGGATATAAACACAGTAAGCAAAAGCTTTTCCTTAACCTCAATAGTTGGAGGCAAGATAACTCCAAGCAAATCGTGAATCAACGATCCTGTTATGGTTGTTTTCCTAATAATGATAATAATCTTTATTAGTTGAGGTGTGATCAAGCGAAAACATTCACATCATAGATTCAAATTAAAAGCCACTCAAATTATAATGCTTCATTTTTCATGCTCTATGCACTTATGCTATAAGTTCCTTATGTTCCAAATCATGTTGTGTAGGCTATAGTATGGTGTACATAAGTTAAATAAGTATTAATTACACTTTACTAATAAACTTGGTATTAAGTTCATTAGTCCCAATTTGACTTTATCAAATCAGACTAGTTTTCAAAGATTAATGAAACTGAAATTAATCAATTCACTGGTGTTTTGTAGCCTATATTGGGGTAGGGTATTAACTGATTAACTTAAAAATTGCTTTAAGTAAAATATTAGCTTAATTAAGATAACTATTAATCCATTGAAAGATATTTTGGCTAATTACCCATAGGTTGACCATACTAAAATTAACAAATTAATTAGCAATTAACTAAATGTTTGGATGTTGACTTAAATAAACTAAGATTATAATGAGATCAAATTTTGTTTTAAAAAATATATTAAAAGGTTGACTAGAGTGTATTTAAGCTAATAATTAAAAACTAATAATTTAATAAAATTTGCAATTCATAAGTGGTTAAAATGTTAAACTAAAAATAATTTAAATTAAGCCACCTAGTACTTAATTGAGTTACTAGAGATTACAAAATTGAAAAAATTAATCAATCATTAATTTTACATTGTATTCAAGCAAAGTAACTAGTAATTGATAAATAATAAGGATGTAAAGCTTATTATTACCTATAAAGGCTAATGAGCTAATAAGACAATTTATGGATCAAGTAAACTTAAATGAGAGGAACAAGACTTTCTGTAGCTTGATTTTCGTAAGTTTGTACCCGGATGGATTTAGTAAATCCATTAAATAATGCTCTATGGCATTTAGTCGATCTCCTTGTCAATAAACTCCATAAGGAAGCTCTACCAAGATTCAAGAATAATCACTTCTTTATTTATATGTCCCAATCATCATGCTTAATCACAAAATCCCAAATAACTAAAAAAAATACATTTTTATAATATTTTTTAAATTTGTGAAAGATAAACAAAAAAATGTGAATTGTTAACCAAATGGCATATCGGAGCAATGACCAAAGCGCAATTTTCCCTTTCATAAAAGATAGCCTGGAAAATATACAAGCCAACACAAAAACTTGCCACAATTAACAGATGGGAAGTGTCATCCCTTATTACTGATGAATAGACACAAAATAAATGTTTCATAAATCTATCATATACAGTCCCTAACCAGCTAAGTGGAACGGTCAACCAGAGAAAAGAGAAAACATCTCTAGCATGTAGAAAAAACTCATTAAAGAACAAGGCCAAAACAGGAACATTTTAGTAAGTCCCAAAAGAAAATCAAAATATCAGAAGAGGCGTTTACATACAGACCGCATTATTCTTATATTTAATATTTGCATGAATATCACTCAAACCCTTAACATCCCATAAAAAACATCGCTGCTAATCATTTTTAAAAGTCAATTACACCTTTTCATATATAAGTGGTGTAAATAAATATATCAAAACTGAGATTTTAAATGTGTAAATACAAAGAAATTGTGCGGCATATGTAAATCTTCTTAAAAAAAAAACAGTACCTTCAAAAAGCGGCCCCTCTTATTCTCACCAACGTCGAAGTAAAACACCTAATTATCAAAACAAAGAACAAAAAACAGATATCTCCAGCAGCAAAACCAAAGGAAAAAAGAAATAAGAATCCGAGAGCACGGCGAAAGCTTTAAACCTTGGTGTCGAGTTTGAGCTCCTTGCTGAACATGTCGCGCTCATCCGTGTTGACGTAGTAGTTGAAGAGATCGAGGAACCATACAATACCGTTGAGAGGGACAATGATCGTTGATCTCGTCGCCGCGGTCTTCTCTGAGATCTTGAGGTACCGACCACGGGGATTCTCTTTCAGATCGAAATAGAAGAGCTTATGCTCGAACTGCAGCGTCTTGCACATCAGCTCCACGTCGCCGCCTCCCGCCGTCCCATCCATCTTCTCCTACTCGCGCAGCCGCAAGTCCCGTAACAGAACAGCTGAAGAAAATAAAAAAACCTAACCCTAATTCAGAGAACACCCCTCGGAGAAGAATTTGGGGGTTAATTGGCAAAAGAAGCGGCCAAGTGGCGGAGATGGGAGAGGGTGGGAAGCGAAAGAACGTTAGGGTTTGGATTAATGGAAGAAGGCGGCTTGAGGGTTGGCGCCATGAGATTTGACGAGAGGCCATTGTTCATGCTCGTTTCGGCCCCTTTTTAACGACCTCGTTCGTTCGCTCTCACTCGTTGCACTCCCCGTCTTTCTCTCTCTTCCGAAGAAATCGGGAGGAATATTTTTACACCGCAGGATGGCGATTTCTCATGTTTTTCACCGTCTTCCGCTGCCGCCTTCGGCCGGTAAAAGTGCTAAACATTGAGGTGCTAACGGATATATTCATGTATATATATATTAGATTCTGATTTGTCTTTTGTGAACACACCTCGAGAATTAAGAATGAGTGAACGAGAGAAAAAAATTGAATCAAGAGTTTCTGTAGAAGGAATTAGTGGAGTCTCAATGGTCTGTCTAGGTTAGATCGTCATTTTATCTCTTATTTATAAGAATGTATTCATGCAATTACAGGAAAAAAGAAATAGATATGAAATTATTCTTAATGTGATTAATGTTCTATAGATTTCATATTTGTATTATAATGTCGATTTGCTAGAATTTGGTCAAGTGAGACGATCGACTGGGTGGCAACTGTATCTTGTGTTTGGTCAAATTAAACCAAGTTGTTTATATTATTTTTATGGAAAGTGCATGAGACTCATCCTATCTTGATTTTTTTTTACTCCCTGACTCCATGAGATATCATTATATCATAGAGAAAAATGAAACATGGTAAATATTATATTTATTAAATATATGAATATTTACTAGAATTAATGCTGCACAAATTTCAAAACAATTTAAATTATTTAGATATTTATATCAATTAAATTTTAGCCTATATTATCATTCATTTTTTTCCTATCTAAAATATGAATCTATAAAATGAATATATAAGAGTTCACAAGTATTTCTGTATTAAAGTAAACATGTTAACGCTGTTTTTTCAACTACATTTATTTCTTTTTACGTTTTGGCTTATTGTAGTTAGGTCTGTCAAAACGACTCGTTGTTCACGAATAGCTCGTGTTCGGCTCGTTAAGAAACTCGTGTTCGGCTCGCTCGCCGGCTCACAAGCTAACAAGTCAAATTGAGCTAGCCTGAGCTTGGCTTATTAGCACATCGAGCCCAATTCACGAACCATTTATTAAGCCAAGTTTTAGCTGACTCACGAGTCGACTTGACTCATTCACATCCCTATCCAGATTTGCGAACCAATTATATATATCTCTTTGATGAGTAGTATTTTCTTAAAAAAATTAATTGACTACAAGGCTGAAAAGATTTATAATCAATTAAAAATATTAATTAAGAAATTAGAATAAAATTTATTATATTAGATTCAAATGAAGTTTTAAATATTGTCTCAATCCTTAACAATTTATGGCTACATGATTAGGATTGTCAAAATGACTCTTTGTTCATAAACGGCTCGTGTTCGGCTCGCTAAGCAAATGAGCCGAACATGAAGACACTTTTTGAGCTCGAAATATAAACGAACCGAACATGAGCTAAGTCTGGGCTCACTCATGTTCGGCTCGTTTACAACCCTAATTATAGTTTTGAGTAACGTGGTATACTATTGATGTAAGATATTATATTATTTGCATTTTCTTTGGGGACATTTCCATACATACCACCCAATTTCTATGTATTACATGGTTAAATCCTAAACTTTATTTATTTCTATTTATATCAATTACCACCGATGTTATTAATTTCACAACAAAAATAGCATTATTTTAATTTTTAAAAAATAAAATATAACTTTTCAGGAATAAATAAGGTGATATATATATATATATATATATATGT